GTCGGGCTCCCGGTGCATGGAGCCTGCTTCTCCCTCTGCCTGTGTCTCTGCCTCTCTGTCTCTGTGACTATCATAAATTAAAATAAAAATAAAAATTAAAAAAAAAAAAAAGCTTGTGGGAATGTGACTCAGGCGAATGCAACTCCCAGACTCTTGCTTTACCAAACCTCGTGTTCCAGATCTAAAAGCTAGGCCTTTTAAAAAGTCGTCCCCTTTTAAATCGTAAAAATTATTCAGCGTGTACAGAAATAAAACGGCCTTTGAGGGCTGTGTGAGGTCGTAGACACGGCTCTGGAATTAGGTAAGCAGTGGCGCTGCGGGCTTAGGGCCTGGGCCTGCCCTCCAGCCCGCGGGCGCCCCCACCCCGCCGCGGAGAAACGCGTCGCAGGCGGCCCAGTCATGCTTGGACTTTATACATTTGATGAACCGAAGTTCCGGGAAAATATGCTTCGTTCCCAGGGCAGGGCCGCAGGTCCCCGAGGCCCCCGAGCCCCACCTTGAGCTCGGGAGGATGCGCCGCTCCTTTCACCGTCCCCGGAATGGCCGGCGGCCGGGCCTCCGCGTCCCCCTGGCGCCCACTCTCTCTCCCGGACCCATTTCTGCGGAAGCCAGGAGTGGGGGGGGGCGCCCTGGGTCCCGCCGGGCGGTGCTGGCCGCTGGGCCTACAGCAGTGGCCGTGGGGCGGGCCGGGTCGCCAAGCGGTGCCGGCGGTGGGGGCCGCGTCCCGGGAGGCCTGTCCCGGCGAGGGCAGGGCAGCGGCTGTGCCAACTCCCGCTGGCGGCTGTTAAAGGTCCGATCCCGGGATCCCGCTCCCCGCGCCGCACCGCCTGCCGAGCGCGCAGCTCCGCGCCGTGTTGGGTGCGCCGGGTCCGTGCTCCGTGCTCCATGCGCCGGGTCCGTGCTCCAGGCCCGGTGTCCATGCTCCGTGCGCCGGGTCCGTGCTCCAGGTCCAGAGTCCGTGCTCCGTGCTCCATGTGCTGGGTCCGTGCTCCAGGCCCGGTGTCTGTGCTCCATGCGCCGAGCCTGTGCTCCAGGTCCGGGGTCCGTGCTCCGTGCTCCATGTGCTGGGTCCGTGCTCCAGGCCCGGTGTCCGTGCTCCATGTGCTGAGCCCATGCTCCAGGTCCGGGTCCGTGCTCCAGGCCCGGTGTCCGTGCTCCATGCGCCAGGTCCGTGCTCCAGGTCCCGGGTCCGTGCTCCTTGTGCCGGTCCTTGCGCCGAGCCTGTGCTCCAGGTCCAGGTCCATGCTCTGTGTGCCGAGTCCATGCTCCAGGTCCGGGTCCATGCTCCAGGTCTGGGTCCGTGCTCTGTGCGCCGAGCCCGTGCTCCAGGTCCGGGGTCCGTGCTCCGTGCACCAGCTCCATGGTCCGTGCAATGGGTCCGGCTCCCCCGTGGCCCCAGCTGGGTGTGGGCTGCCATGCAGGGGCTCTGGGCACCCGACCACCCTTCTGCAGATCCCTGGGCCGTCAGAAACCCCACCTCCTGCAGCGTGCCCACAGACCTTTAGTTTTAAAAACCTTGAGGTTACAGTATCTTTTTCTTAACTAAGCGTGTGATGCAGCTAAAATGTTGTTAATGCTCCTCCAAGGTTTTACTCCTGTACAACATTTACTTCCTGGACTGTAGTTTGAAAGGATGACTTATTTCCCAAGTAAACCAGGGACCATTTAACCTTTATTTATTTATTTTTAAATATTTTATTTATTTATTCATGAGAGACACAGAGAGAGAGGCAGAGACACAGGCAGAGGGAGAAGCAGGCTCCATGCAGGGAACCTGACGCGGGACTCGATCCCAGGACCCTGGGGTCACGCCCGGAGCCAAAGGCAGATGCTCAACCACTGAGCCCCCCAGGGGCTCCCCCTTTTGCCTTTGGAAGTTATGATGAACTCTACCATCTTCAGAGCTATAAAATTTTTCTCCCCAAGCAGAACTTTTGAAGATTCCAAATACTAAATAAATAATAAATAATAAATAAAATCCAAGTACTATATACCTAATACACAGACATTTAGATTTTAAAATTTTTATTTTATTCTATTCTATTCTATTCTATTCTATTTATTTATTTATTTATTTATTTATTTATTTATTTATGATAGTCACAGAGAGAGAGAGAGACAGAGACAGAGACACAGGCAGAGGGAGAAGCAGGCTCCATGCACCGGGAGCCCGACGTGGGATTCGATCCCGGGTCTCCAGGATCGCGCCCTGGGCCAAAGGCAGGTGCCAAACCGCTGCGCCACCCAGGGATCCCTTATTCTATTTTTTTTAAGTAACTCTACACCCAAGGTGGGGCTTGAACTCATGACCCCAAGGTCTAGAGTCCCACAGTCTGCTGACAGCCAGCCAGGTGCCCCCAGACATTCGAATGTTTTGAATGCCCCTAATGAACCAGTCTTTGCTGACTGTTGGGCAGGAGACAGCCCCTGGAAACTGTAGGGAAACGGTCTTCAAAGCCACTATGTGTTTTGCCAGACCTGTTTTTTTTTTGTCTATTCTAAGGATAAAGTGAGCATGCTTTTTGCTTATTTCTATTCTAAATTAGAATCGTTAGTATATCTTCCTCGCTCAGATCTGGTCTCTACAATGCAGTCAATAGAAGGGCTCAAAATCATTCTATTTGCCTTTAAATTATAAAAGTATGCGTGTCTTTGGAAATAATTGTGCAAGCACTTTAAAATGAAAGGCTGGGCTTCCTCCCCCATCCAGTAGTCCCTTCCATAAGACCACCTGGTCAGTTGCCAGTGGAAGTCCTCTTAGAATGAATTTGGGGTCCTGTTATCAGAAGTAGGAAGATGGGATTCCGGGTAGGTTAAACTAGCTTCTTCCCTGAGTATGACTGTATGCTTCGTAAAAGAGCATATAAAACATAAAAAGAAAGGGCTCCTCTCTAGGCCGGGCAGGAAGTGGCCAAGGTGAGCCTGGAGCCCCTGTAGAGCCGGAACGGAAGGACGTGCTCAAAAAACCCAGAACCCGCCTCGGTGGGCATCCCAAAATCTACGATGGTTTTAAAAAGTAAAATCTGTTTTTGGGACGCCTGGGTGGCTCAGCAGTTGAGCGTCGGCTTTTGGTGCAGGGCATGACCCCGGGGTCCTGGAATCGAGTCCCATATCCGGCTCCCTGCATGGAACCTGCTTCTCCCTCTGCCTGGGTCTCTGCCTCTCTCTCTCTCTCTCTGTGTCACTCCTGAATAAATATATAAAATCTTTAAAAGAACAATAATAAAGTCTATCTTTAAAGCAGTGTTTTTACCGAAGCTGGCAATTCCTTAGAAGCTCCTTTTGTGTGCTCCTCCTCTGCCCTAAGTATCATTCCCTTTTGTGCTACTTGTTCCCTTGGTTTTCTTTGTAGATTTGTCACTTTTGTTTGTTGCTCTAAACAGCACATCCTTTGGTTTTGCCAACACAACCTTCACTCAGAAGAAAGGGCGGTGTTGCCGGTGAGGGCCCCTGGGCAAGGCTGGGGTCTGAGTGAGTGCGGGTGTCCAGGGACTTGACTGGCACTGTCCCTCCCGGCCGGTTCTACGTCTCTCAGGAGTGAGATCTTGTAGCCTGAGTCACCAGGGCTGCTGCCCCTCCATCACCCACTGCTCTCTCACGCATCCCCTGTCCCAGGAGGCTTGGGCTCTGGCTGAGAGCAAGTCACATGGGGTTGCATTTAATTTGGGTTTAACGGGATATGTGGGAAGACTTAGGAGCTGCCCAGGTGTGGAAGGCTTGGATTCTCTCCGTCCCTGTGCGGCCGGGGGCATAAAGGAGCAGGGTCAGAGCAGAGGGGCCATTGCCAGTGCACCCATTTACCTTGGGAGCCCTGGCAGACAGGTAGACTCCAGGGCAGTGGAGACACGGCTGGGACCAGGGCAGAGGCCAGCCCAACTGCCGCTGAGGGGTGGACCAGGGATGGACGTGCATCCCAAGGAAGGGGTTCTCCAAGAGCCTTGACATGAAACTCCTGTCCAGCTGGCCGGCAGTCAACCCCAGCACAGTTGAGATGGCCTCTTTTGGCCAAGTCGGACGGACATGGCGTTGCAGGGGACACCGCGAGGGGCTGGACACACAGGAAGTCTCAGAAGTGGCGAGTGGGGGCTCGGGGGGCAGGACCCCTGCCTTGCAGTGGTGAGCACCCAACAGCCAGTCTGGGGGTCCTGGCTCCGCCGTTGCCCTGTTCTCGTCCCGCACGTCTTCTTGGGGAGACTGCTGGCTGTGAGGGGTGGGGGGCGGTGGTTTTTATGAGCATAATGCAAAGTTGGCATTTTTCCCTGGGGAGAAATATTCCTGGATGAAGTCCATACCTCCTGCGTGTCGAGTCAGATGACAGGGTTAGCGTGGAGACAAAGCGTGGCGATGCGGGCTGTTGGGTTCACTTCTGAAGTGATTTTCTGTTGTTTTTGATGCATTTTTGATATTTGACTCTGTCACTTGTGATTTTTTTTTTTTTTTTTTTAGAGGCGATCTGGTTTCATTTTGGCCTTTGAAGTGTGATAAAGGGATCGATGACGTGGTCTCTCCATTTCCTTCAGGTGCCCCCTTGCAGCCTCAGTGGCTCTCAGGTCACATGAACTGAATATATTTTAAAGACACCCCCCCCACCGCCCCCGGAGGAGTTAGGTGTAAGGAAGTATCGAACCGTTGCGAACATCGTGCAGATAAAAGCAAGCTAACGCCGCCGCCGAGCCGTCCCTACGCTTGCTCTCGGACTGACCTCTCACGCTTGTGCGTACGTGGGTCGTGTGCGTGTTTCCAGAACTGGGCTCCTTCAAGCAACGTATGGGGCCGTGGGGAGGTGTGGGACCTGAGCACCTGGCTCTCCTGTCCTCAGAAGTGCCAAGAAACCCACCGCGTCCAGGCTTTTTTTTTTTTAATATTTATTTATTTATTTATTTATTTATTTATTTATTTATTTATTTATTTGTATTTATGTATTTATGTATTTATGTATTTATGTATTTATTTATTTATTTATTTATTTATTTATTTATTTATTTATTTATTTATGATAGTCACACAGAGAGAGAGAGAGAGAAACAGGCGGAGGGAGAAGCAGGCTCCATGCACCGGGAGCCCGACGTGGGACTCGATCCCGGGTCTCCAGGATCACGCCCCGGGCCAAAGGCAGGTGCCAAACCGCTGCGCCACCCAGGGATCCCCGCGTCCAGGCTTTTGAACGTGCGGGGTGAGTTTTCTCCCTACCGCGCGCCCGTGTCCGGGACTTCTGGCTGAGATCGGCCTCTGCCTCGTAGCCTGGTTTGCTCAGGATCCCGTTGTCTCGTCCCGTGAAACAGCTGCGGGGGAGGATCCGCAAGCTGGCATGGAACGTCTTCTGTGGGAGAAAAGCTACCTTGATGCCATGTCATGTTTTAGGGTTCTTGGCTTCTCGAGCTGCCGATGAAGTTGTTCGTGGGTTCTCAAGCGTTATCAGCAGGGTGTCAGGCTTTCAAAGCTGTTCGCTTTGGTTTCTTTCTTTCCCGCGGTGGCTTGGACTCCTTTGTCTTTATTGCCATCGTCTCTATGGCAGTGGGCTTATTACATTCTTTGTTTTTTTTTTTGTTTTTGTTTTTTAGTAGGTCCCTTTCTTCATTTGGTTATGATGCCGGCTGTTTTAAGAGCCCTTTTATGATAATTAGCCAAGCTCTCTGCGTTCAGGGTGGGTTGTGGTCACGTTCACTGTTGCAGGCTAGACTCATGTATTAGGTCCAAATATAGTCTGGCAATTAGCTGATTGTTCTGCGTGTGTCCATTATCGTTCCTCTAAAACCATCCTAACTGCGTGGGCTGGACACAGGTGTGTGTAGATGCGCCTCCCGTGATACTTGGACTGAGCTTCCCAGATGTGAGTCTCCACGGCAAAGCCAGGGAGAGCCGGGGAAGCCACAGGCCCCGGGTGTGTCTGCTGTCCCCCTCTTCTCTTAGTCTCCTAAAAGCGAGTTGGGAATTAGTCAAAATAACAAATTAATAAAAATTGAGTTTTCGGGGATCCGTGGGTGGCGCAGCGGTTTAGGCCCTGCCTTTGGCCCGGGCGCGGTCCTGGAGACCCGGGATCGAATCCCACGTGGGGCTCCCGGTGCATGGAGCCTGCTTCTCCCTCTGCCTGTGTCTCTGCCTCTCTCCCTCTCTCTCTGTGTGTGACTATCGTAAATAGATAAAATATTTTTTTAAAAAGTGAGTTTTCCCAGTAATGTAAAAAAAGCTTGGCCTGCTTCCCTTCTGCAAACACTGTTTAGTGCCGTCTGAGGTCGGTCCTCCTGGTGGGAGGCACCCGCAGCTGGGGGTGAGCACGATGAGCCAGCGGCACGAGGCTGGAGACGCGGTGGGTCCCGCACATGGTACCCGTTGGAGTACGGAAGTAAAGAAATAGGATTCAGACATGCATTTTCTGTTTATTTCAAGTTTTAATACAGAAGTAACAGAAATCTAAAAATCTCTTTTTTCAGGACCCACAAATGTCATTCAGTTTGTTTTACGTGGAAGTTCTGGTTTTCTCTGTGAAGGAGCCTTGTCTAAGGTTTGAACACGAACCGCAAAGGTGAAGATGAGGGCGAAGATGAAGCCGGCAGAGTAGACCTTGGTGCTAACCTCCCGTGCGCTGTCCTCCCAGCAGGCTGGGGTGCTGGACGCGTGGGCCCCCGGGGGTGCGCACGACACAGATGTGTGTGTCGTTAAGATTATAAGGGGGATCCTGATGTTCTTACCAGCCAGGTTGAGGACAGGACAAAAGAAAACACAGGCATGAAAGTTGGAATAGAATCGGTAAAATGATCTGTTCGCAGCCTTGTCAGGAAACCCCGCGGGCACCGTCTCCCAGAGCCTTCTGTGGGGGTGCGCTGCCCCGCGCGGTCACATGGTGGCCGCCATGTGGGACGGCACGGCCTCGGGGTCAGTGGTTAAAAAACCCAGATCGGGATCCCTGGGTGGCTCAGCGGTTTAGCGCCTGCCTTTGGCCCAGGGCGTGATCCTGGAGTCCCGGATCGAGTCCCACGTCGGGCTCCCGGCATGGAGCCTGCTTCTCCCTCCTCCTGTGTCTCTGCCGCTCTCTCTCTCTCTCTCTCTCTCTCTCTGTCCATCATAAATAAATAAATCTTAAAAAAAAAAATAAAATAAAAAATAAAATAAAAAACCCAGATCATCAAAATTAGCCAAGGCAGCAGAAATAAAGATGTAACATCAAACATCCATAGTAGCTTTCGTACTCCCAGCAGATAACCGGCGAGAGGATGCTGCAGAGGAGGAGGACATTCCCATTCGCAGGACAACAAGGACACGCAAGACTCAGGAGTGAATGTGCTGAGACGAGGTCAAAACCTCAGTGAGGACCGTTCTGAAAACTCTTGAGAGACACACGAAGTAGCCTCGAGCGAGTGGCAGGCACGTCCTGTTCGCGGTTAGCGTGTCCCAGCGTCCTCACGGAGGCAGGTCTCCCCTGCGCTCGTCTGCAGAGTTCACGTGATTCCAATAAAAATACGGACGCAGCCAGAGTCACTGGTTTCCCGGGGGCTGGACTCGCGGATTGTAAACCGGACCCAGAAACACAAGCTAGGAACCCAGCACCCAGAGGGCTGAGAGGAGGCGCCCAGCCCTACCAGACAGTAGAGCCCAGCGGAGAGCCTCTGCGTGTGAAGCAGCGTGGCCGTGGCGCGGCCGGTGCCGTGGGAGGCTCGGAAGGAAGCCCGAATCCACACGGAGGTGCCTGTGGTTAAAGGTGCCTTCTCCAGTTGCCGGGGCACGGGGGACTGTCGAGGAAGTGGTTTGGGGACGGGAGCGCCGTCGTGTGAAAGGCAACGTTGGATTTCTGCCTTAGGCCGCGTGCAAGACCGAGCGTGAGACAGAGACGCGGCCAAATATAACGGATGTGTCGGGCGAGGCTTGTCCAAGTGGGACCCCAGTGTCAGGTTCAGCGAAGGAAAAGATGGTCCAGATGACAACACTCCAGCACGGCCGCCGGACGGAAACCACCTCCCGGAGCAAAACAAAACGGCAACGAAATAACGTAAATAACGTCCGAAGACAGACGTATCCATTGGGAGAACAGTCTTCGCAACGAACCATAAATATCTTAAAAATCGTAGGGGAAGAAAAAAAAGACCCAAGTCCTGAAGGCAAACGGGCAAAGGCCGGAATAGACGCCCACGTGTGCCTTCCCACGTCACGATGGCCCTCGGCGTCCCTTCTCCCATCGCGCCGGCGGACGTGCCCGAGCTCTTGCAGGCTGTCACCCGTGCGTGCGCGTGACTGGCGAGTGAGACAAAGCAGCTGGGGCTTTCTCGGTCCCACGGAGCGTGGAAGTTCCGCGTGTTCGTTTCTGAGCTCGCTCAGAGGCAGAGTGCTTTGAAACGGAGTTTAGAGGAAGGCGACCACTCCGCGTCTGGGTCGTGGGTACTAAGCACATGGAGTGTGGGGGTTCGGGGGCCTGCCGGGTGCCCTTTGAGCTCCCTCGCTGGGCCTGTGGCTGCTCTGGCTGCTTCTCCTTCCCCCACGCCCCACGCCTCGTCCCCGCACTGAGGGATCGTTGGGTCTGGGGTGTCTGCTCTGTTGCCTTTTCTCTTGCCGAGTCTCTGTGATCACGTAGGAAGGGGTCTGAGTCGGTGGGAGAGCTCAGTGGGGAGGCTTGTCTGCGGGCTGAGTGGCTGTGGCCCCGCGGTGCCCGCACGACTGGGTGACCTCACGGGGACCCACGCCCCGGGGCGAGACGAGCCCCGTGCGCATGAGGATGTCGGCCTCGCGAGCCTGGAGTCGTGCTGGGGACCGGAACCCACGAAGTCAGGTGGGGAAGAGGAAGGACGCAGAGCGGAGGACTTGGAGCCCAGCAGAGCTTCCCGGAGAGCGGGACCTCTGCTCCGGGCTGTGCTGGAACCTTCCGTCTGGCCCTCCCTCCGCACTCTCAGCACAAACACCCTCTGTTGGCAGGAGACCTCGTTCTCTGCCCCCGGTGATTGTAAAAGGCTGAATCGTGCGGACCGAAGACCTAACTGCTGGTTCCCAGCGTGCACCTAAGGCCGCCTTTCCCTCCGCTCGAGCCTTCTCCACGCAGGGGACGCCCTGGCAGGCGGGTGACAGCGAGCGCTGCTTCTGCTTCGCTCCTCTTGGGCCCGCGGGCCGGACGGCTGGGCCCCAGGGAGCCCTCCCAGCTGGGACGGCGGGCGGGCAGGAGGGCCCCAGTCCGGCCGCTGCTGGGGGCTCCTGCGGGGCTGCTTCTCACCTGCTGGGGAGTCTCACCTGCTGGGGAGCAGCTTCGCCTCACGCAGGTCTCAGCCAGGTCGGCAGCAGCCGCCCCGCGTAATGACACGGCGCCAGGTGCGTCGGCGGTCGGGGAGGGGTGACGGTGCCGCCACGTGGGGGGGAACTGACGTTTCACGGGCTCCTTCCAAGTAGCCTGCTCTGGGTGTGCTCGCTCTGACTCCCGGGATCCCCCGTCGTCCCCGCCCTGATGCCGCGTGCCCCTCCTCTGCTGAGCGTGGCCCATCTTGGAGGACGGATTTGCGCACGGCGCAGAGGCCTGTTCCAGTGTCACGTCCCACCGGGTTTGGGGGCGTGAGGGGCCTGGCGGAGGGAACGGCTCTCCCTCCTCCACGGCGGCCCTCACGTACAACAGAGCATCCCAGAGAAGGGTCTGCACCTGGGCTCTCGCGGTGCCCGTTCCGTGCTCAGCCGGCTGCCGTGGCGGCGGTGGTACCCTGAGCCGGGCCGGCTGGACTGGTCTGGTCTGGTGTCTGCCCGGCACGAGCGGCCCCATCCTTAGAGGCTGCGCTGGCACAAGCCACTCAAACCGCCCCGGTCAGGCTGGTCGGCAGCGTCCTGCTCCCACCCACTGCCACCTTCCTGCTCTTTGCATAAGGACTTCGAGCTTCATTTGTTTGGGGGCTGACTGGGCATCAAGGGGCCCTGCAGAGGGGATACCTGGGGACCCCCCTCACTCTCTCCCTCCCAAGTCGCTTTAATAATTAAATTCACATTTAAAATGGTGAGGCCACTAACCGCACGTGGCTCTCTGCATTTAAATCAGATAGAAGGGCGCCTGGGGGGCTCCATTGGTGAAGCGGCTGCCTTCCTCTCAGGTCATGATCTCAAGGTCCTGGGATCGAGTCCAGCCTCAGGCTCCTGCTCCACGGGGAACCTGCTCCTCCCCCTGCCTCTGACCCTCCCCCCTGCCAGCACGCGCTCTCTCTGTCTCTCAGATAA